GGAAGGAAGGAAGGAAGGAAGGAAGGAAGGAAGGAAGGAAGGAAGGAAGGGGAAAGAGTAGAGAAAGGAAAAGACAGACCCTGTAATGTAAGTAAAGGAAAGGAAAGAAAGGCAAAGGGCCTGAACTGGGATTTCTCCATATATACAAATGGCCAACAAGCACAGAAGAGGCTCAGCCTCATCAGACCCTGCTTCACCCCCACCAAGGTGCTTTAATCAGGAAGACAGAAAGGACAAGCGCTGGCAAAAACATGGAGCACCTACCTCCATGTAAATCTGAATGTTAATGTTATGGGAATGTGCAGGAATCAGTTTCTCCATATTGTGAGAAGCACAAAATGTTCATTGTGAAGTTGCTATATAGCTCAGAAATCCGACTCCTGGGTATGTGTCCCAAAGAAATAAAAATATATCTCCACACAAAAGCTTAGGAGACAGTCAAATAGCTCAGTGGATTAAAGTGCCTGCTTAGGCAGACACAAGGATTGGGGTTCAATCCCCAGTGTGCCATGCTGGCCCTGCCACCAGGGTACTCTGAGACGGTGATTGAGACTGGGCGTGGTGGTGCATGCCTGTAATCCCAGCTCTTGGGAGGCTGAAAACAGGAGGATCAGTACAAGTCTGATTTATGTAGTGAGATCCTGTAGACCGTATACTACCACCACCACCACCACTACTACTACTACTACTACTACTACTACTAATAATAATAATAATAGTAATAATAATCTTATAGTAAGTGTTCATTGCATTATTATTTATCATAGCTAGAAAATGCCGCAACTCAAATATCTATCAACTGGTGAAAAGATTTTTAAGAATAGTATATCCATTAGAATATTATTTGGTAATTAAAAACGAAGTACTGGCCATTATGCAACATGGATGAAACTTAAACTTAGCATAAAAGCCTTCTGTGAAGTAAGAGAAACCAGTCACAAAAGACTGGAATATTTTATTCCATTTCTATGGACCATCCAGAACCAGCAAATCTAGAGACATGAGAAAAAAAATACTTAGTGGTTGCCAGGACTGAGGCTATTGAAGCACAGTGGGAGGAGATTGGAGAAGTCACCGGGGACAGAGTTCCTTTTTGAAGTGATGAAAATCATCGAAAATTTATTGATGAGTATTTCCCAACTCCAAACATGCTAAAAAACATTCAACTACTTTAGAAGGGCGAACTGTAAGGTGTGTAAATTATATCTCCTTAAAGCTGTGAAAACACATATTGCAATAATGTTAAGGATGTCTATGCTACAAACACTGTCCTTTTTTATTTCTCTATGGTTAATATTTGATTTGTATTTGAAAAAAGTATATGCTATTCTTGGAAGCAGCTTTTGATTTATCATGTCCTGCCTTTTCCCGGTATAAAATACTATTACTAATAAAATTAATTATATTGCCCACTTTGAGTAGCTACCATTAGACAATGCTCAAGATTTGATGAGACCTAGTCCCTTTCTCCATGTGAAACATAACTTTCTGAGCAGACTAAGCTTTTTCTCACTTAGAATAGGAAAGCATAGACATATTCAATTTTAGTAAAATAATCTTACAGGCTATCTGTGGGGACCTTTTTGATGTGAAATTAAATTGCGGCACAGACAGAGATTTTATTACATTTACATGGACCCATAAAATAACTTTTATGGTTCCCAGTGGTGCAAATCCTCCTTAATTTTGTTAATTATTTCCCCCTAGTTATCCTTAGCCATGTCTGCTAATTCAGTATTGATCTTGATACTAAGATATGTTATGGTCTTAGAAATTCACTTGAGTCCCCGCTGAATGAAAAGAACTACAGAAGCAGATCTTACCCAAGGTAATGTTTTGGATAGATTCCAATTAATATTACAGCAGAGGATGACAATGTCCTTCCACCCAGCGTGCCAACTTGCTGTTCAAAGTGGGGCTTGTAACCCAAGCAGGATATTAGGACAAAATAGTCTTCCATTTGGTGTAACTTCCGCGTTGGTGTGCCTTTCTTTCAGCACATGATGCTTCCCCAAGGGTTTTCTACGAGACCTGGAAAATGATTGTCTTTCCTGTACTTTTGATTGTTTATATTCTTTTCTAAATTAGTCGTTTCCAGTTCACACTTGAACCAGAATTTTCTGAAGAAAATGTCTTATAGGATCTGTTCTTAACT